ATCGATTCTATGAATCTAGTTTAAAACAGTTTTGAAATGCCTCCTTTTCAGACCCCTCCTACTAAAGCATGACCCCAAGATTTATATACTCAATGTGTTTTTAATACAATCTCCACTTTGTTTTCACTCACCTTAATGCAACCTTCCTTATGTCCCCTCCTGTACCTCAAATGCATTGAAGTACAAGCTATTACTCTCCAAAGCATTTTTTTCAGTCTGTTGAGATCTTGCTTCCAGGCATATTCTATCTCTGAAAATAAATACTAAAACTCTCTACAAATTTTGACATTCTAATGTTAACATATGTTTTTGTTGGACCATCGTTAACAATGGGACACAGAGAAGACTTTGGTCAAATGGGCTTTCTAGGTTTTCACTATATCTATCACATACTAGTTCATATTAAACTGTAGTTATCTATGATGACAGTTTCCTTGCTAGAGCAGGTCTCAAAATACTTTGAGGCAGTTAAAGGGAAGGTCAATGGTTTTTCCTGAATCTTTTGTTTTTTTTAAAAAATAGCTAGCTTATTTTTAAATATCCCACAATTTGGGGCTGGAAAACTCTGCTCCCCCCTTAGTGGTGTGAGATTGGAATCAAGGCTAATTTTTTCCCATATGAATATTTCATTTACTCAGCATAATATATTGAATAGAAAAAAGATGTTATCCTCTACAACATCTTATAGCATATTTATCATAATCAGATGACTGTTCATGTGTGATCTGCAATTTTATATATTTTACATTAATCAGCTCTTTTTATGTCAAGACTACAGTAAAATAATGAATATAGAAGTTCAGGTGTGAGACTTATGTGTTTTACCAAGTTTACTTAGTATAGTAGATCATTACCCAGTACCCTTGCCAGTATGGCTCAGTTGGTTGTCATCCCATGGACCGAAAGGTGGTGAGTTTGATTCCTAATCCGGGCACATACTCATATTCTCTCTCTCTCTCTCTCTCTCTCTCTCTCTCTCTCTCTCTCTCTCTCTCTCTCTCTCTCTCTCCTCTCTCTCTCTCCTCTTTCCTTCGCTGTCTTCTTTCTCTCTTCCTTTTAAAAAAAAAAAACCTATCAAGTAAGGTTCTTGTTGAATAGTTAGTTTTTCTCTGAAGGAAGACTCTGTGAAGAAGAATAGAATGGTCTGGTGTTTTCAAAAATGGTTCATTTCCCCCATACCCTGCCCAAAGCTTGAGCAGATTTTTCTGTGATATTCAGAGGACATAGTGAACTCCTAGGGACAAAACTCAAAACTGTAGGACTCAGCAATGACTGGGTCCCTCTGGAGTTTATCTCAGGCTTCCTACACTAAGCCTCCAGCAATTAGTTAATAACAGTTCACTTTCCTGGCGTGGCACTGTTTCTTGTGGAGATTTCTGTTCTGTTAAATTGTGATTTTTCTGTTTTCACTTTTGATTTCTTTAATTTTGGGGGCAGCAGACTTCCCTGTCTCACGGATACGAGAAGAGTTGTTGATTTTCAAATAGTTCTAATTTTTTACTGTTAGAGCAAATTTTTAAGTTCCAACCTCTCACTTGCTGAACTGGTACACTGAAGTCTACAACCTGGTGTTTTAATTCATTCTGACATTCTACCTATGTGTTTTGACCAGAGAGTTTAAAGCATTTACATTTAAAGTAATTACTCATAAAGAAGGAATTGTTATTGCCATCTTTGTTTTCTGTATGTCTTATAACAATTTTTGCCCCTCATATCCTCCCATACTGCATTCCTTTGTGTTTAGTTGATTTTTGTAATGACACCTTCCAAGACTTTGTCATTTCCTTTTGTGCATATTCTATATTTTCTTAGGAATTACACATAACATCCTAGTGTTATAACAATATATTTAAAATTGATAGCAACTTATCTTCAATCACATACAAAAAACTTTACTCTTTTGGAGTTCTTCTCCCACACTTGGTTATTAATGTGACAAATTACATCTTTATGTATTGTGTACCCATTCACATAGGTTTATAATTGTGCTTGTGCTTTTGTCTTTTGAATTCTGTAGAAGAATAAGATGTGGAGTTGTGAACTAAAATTATGATAATGCTGGTTTTTCTATTTGTATATGTATTTATATTTTTGTATATGTTTGAGTTACTCTCTAGCTTCCTTTAATTTCAACATGAAGGTGTCCCTTTAATATTTCTTATAGAGTAGGCCTAGTGGTAATAAACACCTTTAGCTTTTGTTTTCTGAGAATACCTTAATCTTTTCCTCATTTTTGAAGTTTTGACAGATACAAAAATTTTTATCTCCCCTCCCAAACACTTTAAATATATCTTTCAACTCTCTTCTTAACTACAAGGTTTATGTCTCAAGTTGATATTTGAATGCAGTTGATCTATTTAAGAAAAGTGTCTTCAGTTCCCTTTAGAATTGGTACTCTTAACTGGGGGATACTGAAGGATAGCTATAAACCTAAGGGAATGCACAGGTAAATTACTATCCCTGAAATTAGGAAGATTGTGAATTACCAATAATACAAACATTTCCCCTTCTCCCAATGACTCCATAAGGACCTGTTTGTGTCAGGTGTTATTCCTGCTAATCCTCTGAGATTACTACAGCGATGTTTCTACATATAGAAGCTCCACTTTTAGGTTGCTTCCTTCTCTGAATCAGTTTCTCTCTGAGCTAATTAAGGCTATTATGAAACTAGAAAGGGATGTAGAGAAAGAGATATTCTGAGTGACCTAAATAATTTTTTAAAGTATGTGGGGCTCCCTCAAAAAAGTATCTTTTTAATTTTACAACTGACTTAGATTCAAGGGAAGAGATATAATCCTTTGAAACAGAGAAAATGAACATTTCTCATTCTCTATAGATGAAATGAATATGAAATTGGATTCTAGGAAGCAAAAGTTTACTTAAGGATATTATAGAAGTAAAAATGATCTCTCAATTTGACCATATTTCATTTTGTATGAATCTATTATGGAACAAAACTATGAATACCTTATAATGTTTGGACTCAACTACAGGTTGGTATTTTTAGGAAGACGGTATCACTTAGATTATATCATGCATGTTTGTACAAAAAAAAAGTATTTTGGGAACTAATGTATGTATGTGTGTTCACTTTATAAATATGTTCTTGTAATGCTCCATATTATATTTATACCTCTGACATATACTTACTGAATATCTGAGTGATATTCAGCCTTTATCTAGAGATTGGATTATAAAATTTTCTATATGTGATTATACATGAATATGTGGGCCCTTCTCATCTCACTTGGATCTATCTCCTTATAATCTTAGCATCCCAATTACATTAGATTTTAATTCATTACAACATGATTGCCTTTTCTGATGTAACTCTATTTATATTCCTTTGTTTATGTGCGTGCATATGTGGATAGATTGATGATAGACAGAAAGATAGATATATCAATACCTATTCATCTATATTAAAATTTCATGGGCTGAAGTCATATATTCTTTACATTCCAACATAAGTGCTATTTATTCAAGAATGCTTTCCTTGACTAAATTAAATTTGATTTCTTAATTTCATGTCTACATAATTCATTCTACCTTCCCACTTGAGGTAAGTTTTTGCCTTATAAATTACTTGCTTAAAGTTAAAGTGTAATTATTTATTTAAAGCTAAACAGTTTGTTTTAAAAAGCCATCTTTGCATCGTCCCAGTGTTTTTCACTTAATAAAGCCCAGAAATGTAAATATAAAAACTTAGGTAATATTTCTCTAGTTAATGGTATTTGGAGAAGGTAAGTGTGTTGTCATGATTCTGAAAAGCATAGGTATCTTTATGCAAGTTCTTATCGATGCTTGTTATATTTTTAACAATTGGTTTGAGACAGAGGAAGTGGATTTTCCTTAAGTATTAATGGTAGTACTATTCAAGTACCACGTATTGCCTTGAGGTAGATGGGAAAACAGGAAATTAGAAACCAAAATTTTCTCTACAACCTAAGCATTTGTGGTGACTGAAGAGTCCTTTTTCTTTTTTTTGAACACTTCCACTTCCTGCTTCATACTCAACTACTTTATTCCAAGGAATCTCTGTCAGGGAAATTTGACTATTCATTGGAATTATGGGAAAAAGTATAAAGAAATCTGTTTTAGTTAGTAACTAATTTTTCAAACATCATTGGGTCTATTTACCAATTTAATGAGTAGACTTCTGTGCATAGTTTAGAACGTGGGTTTCGGGTTCAACAACTGAAAAGGCACAGGAAGGTTTTATCTGCACAGTGAAATTATCTTAGTCTAAGACAATGAAGATGAGAAGGTAGTGAGTGGGGTTAATGCTAAGAAATATTAACAATATATAGTAATATAAAAAACTTAATATATGCCTACTTCAAGGGAACATAGTAGAAGAAAATAATAGAAAATAAACCAGAATATTTCATTTGTCAGATTAGTCACACATGCAGAGGTGTAAATGAAAGGCTGAAGATGTATTTTGAGTTAATCCTATTTCAAAAGCTCTGCCAAAGATTTCAACATCATGTTCAGACAGAGGGGGACAGAGACCATTTATTTCTATTTCCACTTAAAGGTCTTTTAAAGAATGTTCTAAAATTTTCACAAGGCCTCTGATTTGATCACTGCCACCTACGGAAAATTCACTCGTATGAGAGAATTACTATTTGTGATCTTAAAGGAGAAGCATCATAACTGCTCAATAAATATTTGTTGAATTAAGGACAAGTATGACTGCAGATAGAATATTTTACTGGAAATGAAAGGACTAAGTGACTAATAGGTTCTGAAATGATATAAGTATTATCTTTCTATATTTCTAAAAACAATAATTTGGTATGTTATTACTAATTTTATTCATCTGATTCTAATGACTTCAAATACTCCAGATTATGAATTTAAATTGTTTTTAACAACACATCTTTTAATGGACCTTCTGAACATAATCTTCATAAGTCATAGCTTCTGGTTGTGATCCTCTTGACATAGCAACTTTACCTTCAGAAGCACTACAAAAGTCAAAGAAAAAAATCATCATGTTTCCTCTCAATACTTCTCATCCCTCTCCTGTCACCTTCTTGCTGATGGGCATCCCAGGACTGGAGCACCTGCATGTCTGGATCGGGATTCCCTTCTGCTCCATGTACATAGTGGCTGTGGTGGGGAATGTGACCATCCTGGCAGTGGTGAGGGCAGAGCGAAGCCTTCATGAGCCCATGTTCCTCTTCCTGTGCATGCTGTCGGTCACTGACCTGGTCCTCTCCACATCTACGCTCCCCCGCATGCTCTGTCTCTTCTGGCTTGGAGCCCATGACATTGCCTTTGATGCCTGTTTGGCCCAAATGTTTTTCATCCACAGCTTTACTGCCATGGAATCAGGCTTCTTTTTGGCCATGGCCATTGACCGTTATGTGGCCATTTGTCATCCACTGCGCCATAGCACCATCCTCACCCACGTTCACATCACTATAATGGGCATCATTGTGGTGATTCGGGGTGTAGCCTTCTTTTCTCCACATCCCATCCTGCTCAAACAGCTGCCTTATTGCAGGACTCGAAGAATTGCCCACACCTACTGTGAGTTCATGGCTGTGGTGAAGCTGGCGTGTATGGACACAGGAGCCACCAAACGTTATAGCCTCAGTATGGCTACAATCATCGGCTCGTGTGATGCGATTCTCATTGCTGTGTCCTATGCCTTTACTCTGCGCTCTGTATTCAGCCTGCCATCGCGAGACACTAGCCTTAAGGCTTTGGGCACGTGTGGATCCCATGTCTGTGTTATTCTTGTCTTCTACTCCACAGCAGGTTTTTCCATTTTTACTCACCGTTTTTGGGAAACATGTGCCTGCACATGTCCATATTTTTATTGCAAATATGTACCTTTTGGTGCCCCCATTTCTCAACCCCATTGTGTATGGAGTAAGGACCAAGAAAATACGTGAACATGTTCTTAGGATACTAATGGTCAAAGTTGCCTAATTTTAGTTGTATCAATCAATAAAAAAAAATGGTTCAAGAATAAATAGAGATAATGTAAGGACAATAACTGTTGTCACTCGCACAAGCTGAATTGCATTTACTGCCTGAAATGTATTTTTTTTTTTATCATAATAGTAGCCCTGGGACCGCTTGGGGATATCTGACTGCCGATAAGTACAACACAGATGAGAAAGAGCCTATAATCTGATAAATAAAATTATTGGGAAGTACCGTTCTGAGATATTATTACATATTCCCATACATTCTCCTTTGTTTTCTTTTTTCCCTCTCTCCAAGATAAGTAGCTGGTTCTGTCTTTGTTGCTAATGGAGAAAGATTCAACAGAACATTCTGGATAGTGGCTACCTGGGTGTAGACATAGGTAAACATTTATTGAGCTGTACAATTGAGATTCCTGTATTTTACCTGGACATGTGGCTCTTGTGTTTGCATAAACATAAGCAGGGGCTTCTAACCCACAGGGTAGAATCATTCAGGGACTTAAAATTTACTGTTGGCTGAATACTCTCCAAATCAGCAAAATCAGAATCTATGGAAAATGAACAAAATTGGAACACTAATTTCTGAAGGGGTAGACTTGTTGTTTGGAATATTTTACACACACACACACACACACACACACACACACACACACACACACCTCAATTTCCATGAACAGCTATTATTGAAAATCAACCCCCAAGAAAATGTAGAGTCCTTATAAGGGGGCAGAAGAATTCAGGCACAATGAATAGACAATTGTGTTGCTAGAATCAGCAGGAAATGTGGGCCTTCCCTCATGTCCTACAGAAGCCTAAAAAGCCTCCACACTTCCTGCTCTGCCTCTCCGGGCCCCCAATGGACCTGGTCCCCATGGTTGGGGTCTGGCTCTGCTCACCCCAACTCCCTGGGCCCCCGATGAGACAGGACTTTGTGGGTGGGACCTGATGCTCCCCACCCCACCTTTCCGGGTCCTCGATAGACCTGGACTCCGCGGTTTGGGCCTGGTGCTGTCCCTCCAACTCCCCAGGGTCCCCATGGAATGGGACTTTGGGAGTGGGGTCTGGGGCTGCCTGCTCCACCTCCCCAGGCCCCCCAATGGACCTGGACCCCACAGTTTGGGTCTGGCGCTCCTCACCTCCACTCCTCGGCCCCGATGAAACAGGACTTTGTGGGCAGGGCCTATCACTGCCTGCCCCACCTCCCCGAGTCCATGATGGACCTGGACCCCATGATTGGGGTCTGGCATTGCCTGCCCCGACTTCCTGGGCCCCTAATGGACCTGGACTGGTTTGGGCTTGGTGCTACACACCTCGTCTCCCCAGAAGCCTAAATGATCTGGACCCCCATGGTTGGGACCTGGTGCTGCCTGCCTCGCCTAGGTATGCAAATTTACCCACCATCTTGGTTGAGTTAATTTGCATATCACTCTTGATTGGCTGGTGGTGTCGTGGATGTATGGTCAATTTACATACTTGTCTATTATTAGGTAAGATGTCTATAAATCCCAAAAATTCTAATTTGACAAGTTATTTCAGCTTTTTTATTTATTAAACTTTGGAGAACAAATTATTTTCCTCCTAGGTATGTGCTTTTTAGAGGGTAATTACAAATATAGAGTGAACAGTAAAAGAAGAGGGGGGGGCAAAAAAGGAAATAATATAAACAAAATTTCCAGAGAACCCAATGATGTCCAGTATATACCCGGCAATTGAAGCCATTTGATTATGTGTGTAGCTGTGATTTCATAGAACAGGTGAGCAATATTGAATCTCTTCTATAATGCAATCAAATTAAAGCATTATTGTTCATTTAGATAAAGGAGTAGAAATAATATATAAATATTAAACATTAATATTGAGCAAATGTCTCAACAAAGGAACCTGAATTGGTGTGAAGGCTCTAATTTTAGTATTAAGGCTGACCCATTTTCTGGAGAAATTTTCATAGGAGTGTATTTTTTAAATTAAGCTAATATCATGAAATCTGTTGGCTTTTAAAATTGAGGTCATGAATTCCCATTTTGATAAATATTAGTCAATATTACCAAATTACCAGGCCACCATATGCATTGATTCTACCTCATTTATTTATTATATGACTTGGAACCCAGTATCAAGAAACAAGATCTGATATTTCTTATTAGCAACAATGTTGAAATAGTTTATTGGCCCACTACCAGGGACTTACAAGTTCATTGACACTAGATTCCCAATCCAGTTATCTATTTCTTATTATTTTTTAAAAAATACAACCTAAAATCTGTGGACCTGTTTTATAATTTGGATATGTAAAAATTGTGTTTTGATATTTATGCTTTGAAACTTTTTATCTCCCCTTGCTTATTATCATTAGAAGCTCACACCTATTGTTAAACATGCAGACTAACATCTCTGAATTCACCATTCTCACTTCATAATCAAATATGGGGAGAGTGTAAAGCTTTCTATTTTGGAGAACTAGAAATATTTGGCAATGTTTCTTTGATTCCTTAATTGATGTGCAAACTAACGTTCTTACTGTGGTATAATTTAGATGTCATGACATTTTTCCAGGTATTCTAATCACTTAATATTTAAGTATCCAGGCTTTATAGTTAGACTGTTTCAGATCAAGTCCAATATTCATTGCTTGGGTAGCTTTATTGCCATTAGATTTCCCTTCCCTCAATTTTATAATATGTAAAAACAGTGATAAAGTAAGCATCTACCTCATACAGTTGTATGGTAATTAAATAAAACATAAAGATTGGTGCTATGGCATAGAGGAAACATAATAAGCTATTTTTTTAGATTCTTCCACTATGATTATAATTTTCTATGTTCTGCACCCTTTGTTTAAACTGCTTTAAGAACTATAATATTTAATATTACCATCTTTGTATTTGTGCATTATTTGTATTTTTGTTATTTATATAATGAATGTATTTTATTTCATTCCCTTTTAGCCACTTATTTAGTAAATTTACCAACACCTCAAAAGAATAAATAAAAAATAAAACAACAAAACTTGTGTTTTATTTTCTTTGCTGTACATTGTCTTGTTCCATTGTATGCCACATATTGATAACTTTAGCTCTTCTGAAGAATAGGATAGATTTAATGCAGTGCAATAGAATAGTGATAAGAATATAGTAATTACTTTTAATGTCTTTTGTTGATAAAATCATTTGATCATTCAATTATTTATTTTATTAAATTTATTGGTGATATTGGTTAATAGGATCATATGTATTTCAAGTGTGCATTTCTATGATACATGACCTACATATTGCTTTGTGTGTCCATTATCCAAAATCAAATCATCTTCCATCACCATTGATTTGGCTCCCTTTAAATTTTACTGTCCCCACTCCCTTCTTCCTGGTAACCAGATGATCTATGAGTTTCGGTTTTCTATCCCACATATTAATGAAATCATATGGTTATTAGTTTTTTTTTTAACTAACTAATTTCACTTAGCATAATATTCTCAAGGTCCATTCATGTTGTCCCAAATAACATTATTTCATCTTTTCTTAAGGCTGAGTAGTATTCCATTGTCTATATGTACCACATCTTCTTCACCCAGATGTCTATTAATAATACTTTACTTGTCTACATGTCTTGACAACCATGAACATAGAGAGGCATATATCTTTATACTTTTTTTTATTTTAGATTTTTAGGCTGATACCCAGAAAAGGGATTGGTAGGTCATATGGTAACTCTATTTTTAATTTTTTGAAGAACCACATACATGCTGTTTTCCATTCCCATCTATGTGAATGAGGGTTTCTTTTCCCCCACATCCTCTCCAACACTTGTTATTATCTGCCTTGTTGATAATATCCATTCTAACAAGTGTGAGGTAGTTGGTACCTTATTGTAGTTTTGATTTGTACTTCCCTAATAGTGAGTGAAGTTAAACATCTTTTTCTATGTCTCTTGGTCATTTTTATGTCTTCCTGGGAGAGGTGTTTGTTGAGATCCTTTGACTGTTTTTAAATTCGATTGCTTATTTATTTGTTATTAAGTTGTATGAGTTATTTATATTTTTATTATTAATGCCTTGTTTGAAAACTAAACTGTTGTTTTAAATTATCACCTCCCATTTGGTTAGGTGCCTTTTTGTTTTGTTAGTCATTTCTTTTTCTGTACAGAAGTTTTTAGTTCTATATAGCCCCATTCATTTATTTTTGCTTTTACTTCCCTTGCTTTGGGGATCAAATTCTAAGACCAAGCTCTACATGTGTAGCACCTATGTTTTCTTCTATGTAATTTATTGTTTCAGACTTTATATCTTTGTTGTTTAATCCATTTTGAATTAATTTTTGTATATGAGCATAATCTGTGGTCTACTTTCATTCTTTTGCATGCGGCTTTCTAATTTTCCCAGCACTGTTTATTGAAGAGACTTTCTTTTCTCCATTGTGTATTTTTGGCTTCTTTGTCAACAATAATTAGCTCATATACATGTGGTTTTATTTCTGGGCTCTCAGTTCTGTTCCATTGGTCTGGGTGCCTGCCGGGATGTCCCTGGATGCTGGCCCTGGAGCTGCTCATATAGTGCACCCTTTGCTCCAGGGAAAAACGTGATTCTGTAGCACCAGTGGTCAGGTGCCCAGACAAAGTGCTCCTCAACCTGACACCAAGGGTGGCTGGCCCAAGCGAGTTCTGGGCTATGGGTAAGCAGAGCTCTGTGACTTTGTTTCTCTGCCCAACAACCACAGAGACACCCCCATGTTCTTGCCTTCCCCAGGTCTCTGGGGTCACATTACTCACCCCTGAGGGAATGCCCAGAGGTTGTTTTTTTTTTATTGTGGTGAAGTATACATAACATAAAACTTAGCATTTTAACTGCTTCTAAGTTTATACAGTTCAATGGAATTAGTACATTTATAGTGTTGTGCAACCAGCCCCACCATTCACTTTTAGAGCTTTTTTTTTTTTAATCTTTCTCAATTGAAACTTCATATTCATAGAACAATCATTTTCCACTCACACTTCTTTACTTACTTTGAAAAGAATTCTTCTACAGTCTTTCTTCTACAGTCTCTAGAAATTTAGTTATTCTAGGCACCTCACATAGATAAAATCACAAAATATTTGTCCTCCTGTGACTGGCAAGCTCACCTAGCATTATATATTCAAGGTTCACCCATGTTTTGTTTTGTTTTGTTTTTTTAATATATTTTATTGACTTTTTTTTTTTTTTTTTTTTACAGAGAGGAAGAGAGACGGATAGAGAGCTAGAAACATCGATGAGAGAGAAACATCAATCAGCTGCCTCCTGCACACCCCCCCTACTGGGGATGTGTCCACAATCAGGGTACAAGCCCTTGAACAGAATCGAAGCCCCAGTCCACAGGCCAAGGATCCATCCACTGAGTCAAACCGGTCTGGACGGTTCACTCATGTTTTAACATGTGTTAGAAATTCCTTCCTTTTTAATGTTATGTAAATTTATTTTTTATCCACTCATCCATCAATCTATGGTACTTGTAATGTTTCCACCTTTTGGTAGGGTGAATAATGCTGCTATGAACATACAACAATCTGTCTGAATCCTTGTTTTTATTTCTCTGTGGTATATATACAAAAGTGGAATTGATGGATCACATGGTAATTCCATGTTTAAGTTTTATGAACTGTCCTGCCATTTTCTATAGCAACTGTATCACTTTACATTCCTCCTAGAAATGCACAAATGTTCTTTCCAATTTTTCACATCCACACTAATAATTTTTTCTTTCTTATTTTTAATAATAACTATTATTTTAATAATGCTATTCTGAAATGTTATCTCATAGTGGTTTTAATTTGCATTTTCCTAATTATTAGTGATGTTAAGCATTTTTTGTGTGTTTATTGGTCATTTGAACAAATTTTCTGAATAAACACTTATTCAAATTGTTTGCCCATTTTTAATCCAGTGTTTTTTTAAATTGTTATTGAGTTTTAAGATTTTTAAAATATATATTCTGGATATTAATTGCTTATCAAATATAAGGCTTGCAAATATTTTCTCTGATTCTCTACCTTACCTATTCTCTGAGTTGACAGTGTTCTTTGATGCACAAAAGTTTTTAATTTTGATAAAATCTAGTTTATTAATTTTTACTTTTATTGCCTTTGTCATATCAAAAAAATTCTTTGTCAAAATTTACAGGTTTTTTTTCTAAGAATTTTATGTCGTCCATCTAGATTTTCATCCATTTTGAGGTTGTTTTGTTTCTTTGTCTGTTTGTTTGTTTTGTGTCTTCTTTTTTATGTAAGATAAAAATTCATCTTCGTTCTATGTATGTAGACATCTGGGTGTTTCAATCCATTTGTTGAAAAACTACCTTTCCCTCATTGAATAGTCTTGGCAGCTTTGCAGAAATTATTTAAACATCTTTGTAAGAGTTTAGTTTTAGGCTTTTTAGTCTTTCTATAGTCTATATATAAGTTTTTATCCCACTTAGATTACTATACCTTTCTAGTAAGTTCCATTTTTTCTTCAAGATTTTTTTTTTTTAAATATTCCGGATCACTTGAGAATTCATATGGATTTTTATATTTCTACCAAAAAATGTCATTACAACATTGATAGAAATTGCACTGAATCTGAAGATCGATCTGGATAGTATTGGCATATTAACAATATTAAGTGTTCTAATTCATGTACACAAGATGTATTTCCATTTATATGTGTTTAATTTCTTTCAGCATTTTTTGCAGTTTTCAGTGTATAAATTTTAATCTTAACTTCAGTTTATGCCTTTCATTTTTGTATATTATTGTCAATGAAATTGTTTAATTTCTTTTTCATATGGCTCATTTATAGTGTAGAGAAATGCAACTGTTTTTGTACATGATAATTTTGTATCCTGTAATTTGATAATTTATATATTAGGTCTAGAGTGTGTGTGCATGTGTGTGTGTGTGTGTGTGTGTGTGTGTGACTGACAGAGAGAAATCTTTATATTTTTTTATTTATAAGGTTATTTTAGTTGCAAAGAGAAGAAAATGAAATAAAAGGCATTCCAATATGGATGCCTTTTATTTCATTTTCTTGTCTAATTTCTTTGGCTAGGATTTTCAGTATTATATTGAATACAAATAGTAAAAGAGGGCATGCTTGTCTTGCTCCTGACCATAGAGGAAAAACTTTCAGTATTTCATCATTTATCACAAAGAAGTTGTGAGTTTTTCATGTATGACATCTTTTTCTGTTGAGGTTGTTGGTATCTTTTGATTATCCCCTTTCTAATATTTTAAAGAGATAACTAGGAACACAATACTCTATCATTTCTTCAATGTAATGAATCTCTGAGGTAACTAGCCCTATATTACTATGAGTGGCCAATATGTTAGTCAGAATCAAACCAGAAAATATTATTTATTACAGAGAATCTTTAATACAGTTAATTATTTACACACATTATAGAACTTCAAATAAACCCAACATTTGACAGTGAGGACTCCCAGAAATTAGAAACCACAAAAATCCACAACAACTCTAGCCAGCAACACACAGAGGCACCACTAGTTGAATCACAAATCAGAAATATGAGTCTCTCATTAGAAGCTGAAACCCTGGAAGTACCCTTTGGCAAAATCCGGAGCCATGGAATAGATGCAGTTGAAGAAATAGAGAAATAGAGAGAATTGTCCTAGGACATTGAACAAACCCTGTCTAAAGAGAGATGATCTATGATCCTGAGAAACATAGGCTGTAATGTTCACTTCCTAAAATACAGAGCAGAAGAGAACGATAAGGGATATATGTGTAGCAAAATATATCCAATCATTGTATAACATCCCAACTAAAACATGGTGATAATGCATACACTGTACTCAATCAAACAAATAAATTTCAGGGGAATTGAAGAGTAGAAACATACTATAAAATATCCTGGGGCTTTAGTTGATTTTCAGAACTAACATTGGTTCAGTGAATTATTTAAGAATATCTAGAGGCATGTAAAGATTAATACAATCACCATGATTATTCTTAAGTTTGTTGCTCCAAAATATCCTCCACTACTAGCTCTATAAGGAAGCATTTAGTGCTTAAACCCCTGGGTACAATAAACCAATTATCTCACAAGACCTGGAATCCAGAGTCTATCTCCCATTAATGTCTAAGCTCAGAATTCAAGTGGTATGGACACCATAAGACTGAGTCCTTCCAAAAGACCAAATTGTGCCTTTTGAGACAGATTAGTGAAACTGCCTACAATCAAATAGCATTCCTATAAGAGTCTATACATAGGATATTCCTTGCAGGCCTCTACTCCCCCAGGAGAAGAAGTGTAATGGACCCTGTTGTAATTAAATCCAATAGTATGTTGAGCCTCATGCTGAGTAGTGAGACCTTCTAGTTATAGAGGTAAGACAATCAGATGAAAGACAGAGGAGCTGTGAATAAGGTGAGAAGGGACAATTCAGTGCTTCCTTGATAAAGGAATGGTGGAGCCTAGGCTGGAGGTCCTAGGACCAGTCACAGCAGTAAAGGTTTAGACTTTGTGGTTGTCTGAAAGATGGCACAACTTCTTGACTTGACAAAAAGTAAGATAGAATATTAATTTGATATTTAAGCTGAGATGTATGTGTTATACATAGTTTTTGTTAAGCTAGCCTTAGAATTTAGTCCTGAACTACATTTGCTCAAAACCATATTTGTTTTTATTAAATTTTGTTCTATTCAGACTCAAAGGATGACTAAGATTATATAAGCTTATTATATGCAAATATTTGAACCAAAGTAATGATTTATCAATTTAAAATTTAGGATTGTTAGGATACCTTTCCAAAACAATATATTCCAAGACACACCTGCTATCTTGAGCCAAGAGTTGCATTGAAGTTTACTTGGAAAGCAAAAATCAGCATCAAGTGAATTGTATGATTGAAGAATATACAATATTATGTACCTTTTGGGAGAATTTAATTGATCATTTTAAAAAGAGGACAAATATCTAGTAACGTGAACAGCCACACTTTCCAGACTTAGTCATTTTTCTATGTTGGATTATCTTTGCAAAGTGATTTCTTACCATTCTGTTTCGCTGATTTTATGAAGATAAGGCTCCTTCCTTTATTAACTCAATTACTCATCTTCCAATAGAAGATCAGTTTTGTCTTCATTTCTTTATTGAACTAATTTTTCTTTAGTATTCCCAAAATCTCCTTTCTCCTTATAACTATAAGCAAGCTCTTTGGGAGTTGGTAGCAAGAGTTAAATATACAAATTGTTGATCTCAACCTGATGATTTTTTGACTGTTTCAGATGGTAGAAAAGTCTACCTTGGTATTTGAGAATATATCGACACTATATCTAAAAACTACATAATATTGCTAAAATGTATTTAGCCAATTGGATAATACTTTTTGAAAAAGAGAGAGAAAAAGAGAAGGAAGAGAAAAGGGATATAAGAATTCCTTTATACTATTTTTCTTATCCAAAAAGCTGAGCCTATGTATTGATGCATTTAGACAATTTATTACTTAAATTATTCAATAGCCAGTTGCATGTTATTGGATGTTAACATATCTTCCCAGCCATAACAATAAAAAAGTTGGTCTTTATATATTTAAAATCTTTATGATGTTTAATTTGGACAGGATTATGGAACATCATTGTTTGGATAATGGCAGGTTATAACAGGACCCGTCTGCAACCAACCATCTTCCTACTGCTTGGAATTCCAGGATTGGAGGCTGTCCACAAATGGATTTCCATTCCTTTCTGCCTGGTCTACCTACTGTCACTGATGGGAAATGTTGCTCTTTTATTAATTGTCAAGACAGACCACAAACTGCATGAACCTATGTACATCTTTCTCTGCATGCTCTCGGTGGCTGATCTGCTGCTTACTTCCTCTACACTCCCCAAGATACTCAGTCTCTTCTGGTTCAATGACACAGAGATCTACTTTGAAGCCTGCCTCACACAAATGTATCTTATCCATTCTCTGTCTACTATGGAATCTGGGTTTATCTTGGCCATGGCTTTTGACAGATATGTAGCCATCTGCCACCCACTGAAACATTTCACTATCTTAACACCTACAGTGATTGTAGGCTTGGGTATGTTCATTGTCTTCAGAGGAGCTATCCTCCTCAGTCCACACCCCTTCCTGCTGAGGTGGCTTTCCTATTGCAAAACTAATGTCATCTCCCATACTTATTGTGAATTTATGGCCCTAATAAAGCTGATTTGCACTGAGACCAAAATTCAGAGAGCCTACAGCCTAACTGTGGCATTCCTGACAGGAGGATTAGATTTCATATTAATCATCTGTTCCTATGCCCTTATTCTCTTCACTGTCTTTAATCTTCCATCCAAAGCTGCTCGCCTGAAGACTTTAAGTACCTGTGTCTCCCATGTATGGGTCATCTTGGTATCTTACACACCAGCCTTTTTCTCTTTTCTCACTCATAGATTTGGTCACCACATTGCTCCATATATCCACATTTTTATTGCCAATATATACCTTCTCATTCCACCTATGATGAATCCTATTATTTATGGTATTAAAACCAAAAGGATCAGGGAGGGATTCTTTAAATTGTTAGCAGTCAAATGTGTTTGACTTCGCAAGGTTTGTGATTCCCCAACAAAGATGAGAGTTTTATTAAACAGGAAATGTTGAAAATGAATCGGCATTGCCTTGAAGCATAAAACTTTTCATGTAAATTTTGGATTAATATTGGGTAGCGAAGATTGGTAAGTATATTAACTTCAGTGAGAAATGGTAATTATAGAAGATATAGAAGTAGAAAAAATTAGAGCAAAACTCATTATTATTTATGTTCCCTAACCTTGTATTTATTTGGGACTTATTAAGCCATAAATAACTTTATAATGAAATAATTTTAATGAAGTCTAATTTATCTAATTTTCTTTTATAGGTGGGTCATGCTTTTTGTGTCCTATCTAAGAAATAGATTTAGTTTGAGATGTGAGACTTAGATTAAGGTTCATTTATAATACAAAGATAATAACCCATAATTCCTGGTTGAAAACTTGAGTCTTAAATAAAATAATATACATTAATAATTCTGAACATAATAAAATATGATTTCCCCTTCATGCAACAAAGTTTTCTAATATCTATTTTACCCTCCTAAATAAAAAATAGTAAGTTTTAAAAAAACGTAAGTACCCAAATAATAATATAAAAGTAAAAGTAGCAATATATATACTTGTGCATGACAACACTAGATGACATAATAAAGTAGTCAGGTCCTTATACTTATGCATAGAAAAAATGTGAATGTGAATGTTATAAATGCCAGTTAATCCTCAATTTTATCAATTCTTCAAATGTCATGAGAAATATTGCATTTGGTGATGTCATTTTTTAAAGGAATTTTTTCCTATTTAAAAATGTTTAAAAAAACAACAACAATAACTTGATATTCATTGTCTTAACACAACAATATACAATATTCAATTTACATACATGATAGTTAATGTTCTGGAATACCAAGTTCATGTTTTCATTTTTAAACCATGAAAAGATAATTTATGATAACTAGTATGGCAAAGTTTAAAAGGCTGCATTCAGAATAATAAATACAAAGCAAGGTAAAATTACACATTCAGAACATTATCATATTTATTTTATTTTTTCTACCTCCATTTATCTCCTTAGTGCCTCTTCCACCTCCACCCACTCCCCTCTCCTCCACAATCACCACACTCTTGTTTTTATTCATTAGTTCTCTCTCTTTTTCTCCCTTTTGTTGCTCAACTCCTCCATTCCCTCTGCCTGCCCATCCCTCAAAACTGTCAGCCCACTCTATGAATCTGTCTCAATTTTGCTTGTTAGTTCAATTTGTTCATTAGATTCCACTTATGAGTGAAATCGTATGGTTTTTTCTTTCTCTGACTGGCTTATTTCCCTTAGCATAATATAAAGTATTTTTAACTACACAATGTTCAATTGCATATCTGAAATTTCTCTCAGATACAGAATATTTGTGGAGGATTGGAAGTATGGAAGAATTATCTTATGTATTGCAGGAGGATTCTCTCTGGTTTATATTTACTAAATTTAATAGTGCTTCTCAAATTGTGACAATAATAAAACCACACCAAAAAATTTCTAAAACGTTCCTTAAGTTCATCAACTCTGTTTGGAACCACTGACACAATTACAGCATAAATCATAATATCTGCTTCATAGTAAATACCTCATAAATATTGGCCACTCTTATTGTTTTTATTATTATTGAAAATAGAGTAAAGTTAAGAAGAGAATGCCAAATATGTTTTGAAATTAACCTTTTTTTTAAAAAGTGTGTTTATGTGGGATTTTATGATAATATATTAACTGGCATTTATAATGTTCACATTCACATGAAAGCATTAAATTACAAATATGAGTCTGAATAATTCAATAGCAAACAAGCAAACAGAAAAACAGCCATGGAGTTAGCTGAAGTAGTTGAAATGCCATGTTCTCTGGGAGACTAGCATTTGACTTGTCTATGTGTATTTGGATTAAGACTACATTGGATAGCTTCTGGGATCAAGAAAAATAATTCTAGAAATAGTTCTTACCTTACCATCTGATTTCTGATTAGACTCAGAAAGGATGCTGTTAAGAAACTTAATAACTGTGCTATTGCATGTATGTGTTAAGTGTAAGGTCCCTTTTAGTCTATCTGTAAGTCTCATATGGGTTACAAATAATACAGCTCTGAGGGATGGGAGGTGGAATCTTCTATGCACACAACAATGCCTATTTTGGGTTGCAATTTATTGACACTTGTCTTCCTTTTATTTTCTCCAGTATATTTCTCCATGAAATTTGAGATGCAATTAAAAATTAGCTCTCAGGTGTAAATGACAATGTTTTTCTCTATTATTATAACCTGTATTTTCTATTAAAAGCATTGTGGCTTTTTAGAATCACCCTCATAAAGCAGTTTAATGTTTACCAGTTTTATACATATCTCTCATAATTAAGGGGATATCATTCAGCAACTACCGTGTTTACCCGAAAATAAGAAATCCTCCGAAAATAAGACTTACTTACAGGTTTCCTTCTGAGTGAAATTTAAGGCATCCCCCGAAAATAAGCCCACCCCCCCAGGCTAAACATGAGAGATTTGGTCCACTGATTCTGAAAGAAATGGAGTCACAAGAAATTCACCAGGAAATTCAGGAATTGGATTGTTATGCTGATGTTCCAGAAGATGATGACATGATTGTCATTGAATAAATGAGTAAATTCTTGATACTGTAGGATTCAGTTTGTCTGGTTTGTGTTGACAACTACCGTACTACCATACCGTATACAGGTAATAAATTTCCTTTATTTTCATTTAACAATAAATGTGTACCGTATTCTTCTTCATGGAAAAATAAGACATCCCCTGAAAATAAGACCACATCTTTGGGAGCAAAAATTAATATAAGACACAGTCTTATTTTTGGGGAAAAAGGGTATGTTCTAGGATAAGACAGTTGGAAATATTTACCATAGATATAGCACAAAGACTTCAAAATGATAATAAACTTGAGAAAGTCTCTAAGATTTTTGTGAAGCGACATATCTCAAATCAGAATCACAGAAATGTAAATTGTTTCCCTGTCTGAAACAATTCAGACAGGGAAACAATTTTAAGAATGTGAAAAATTGGGAAATATTAAGGAAAATGAGATGATTAGGGGTATAGATATCATCTCTTTTTTTAAATATATTTTATTGATTTTTACAGAGAGGAAGAGAGAGGGATAGAGAGTTAGAAACATCGATGAGAGAGAATCACCAATCATCTGCCTCTTGCACAGCCGCTACTGGGATATGCCCAAACCAAGGTACATGCCTTTGAACGGAATCAAACCTAGGACCTTTCAGCCTGCAGGCCAATGCCCTATCCACTGAGCCAAATCGGTTTCGGCTAGACATCATCTTTTTAAACACACACACACACACACACAACACACCCCTCTCAAGTAATTCCCATAAACAGCTATCATTGAAAATCAACCCTCAAGGGAATGTAGAGTCCCTGTAAGGGGGCGGAAGAATTCAGGCACAATACATAGACAATTGTGTTGCTAGAAACAGCAGGAAATGTGGGCCTTTTCTCATGCCCTCCAGCAGCCTAAAAAGCCTCCCTCTGACTGCCCTGCCTCCCCTGGCCCCCGATGGACCTGGATCTAGTGGTTGGGACCTGGCACTTGCTGCCCGCCCTGACTCCCTGGGCCCCCTATGGAATGGGACTTTGTGGGCAGGGCCTGGCACTGCCTTCCTGGGCCCCACGATTTGGGCCTGGCACCACCCACCCCACCTCTCCAGACCCCTGATGGACCTGGACCCCAAGGTTGGGGCTGGTGCTGTACACCCAATTCCACAGGCCCCCTATGGACCGGGACTTTGGGGGTGGAGCCTGGGGCTGCCCCTCCACCTACCCGAGCCCCCCAATGGGGCCTGGACCTCACGATTTGGGTCTGTCGCTGCTTTCCCTGCCTCCCCGGGCCCGCAATGGACCTGGACCCTCACAGTTGGGGCCTGGTGCTGCCTGCCCCGCCTGGGTATACAAATTTACCCACCATCTTGGTTGGGTTCATTTGCATATCACTCCTGATTGGCTGGTGGCATAGCGAAGGTATGGTCAATTTACATATTTGTGCATTATTAAGTAAGATGTCTATAAATCCCAAAAATTCTAATTTGACAAGTTATTTCAGCTTTTTTTATTCATAAAACTTTGGAGAACAATTTATTTTCCTGTTTTTCAGAGGGCAATTACAATATAGAGTGAATGGTAAAGGAAGAGGAAAAAGAAAAGTAAATAATATACAAAAAAATTTCCAGAGAACCTAATGATGTCCAGTATATACCTGGCAATTTAAAGCCATTTGATTATGTGTGTAGCTGTGATTTCACAGAACAGGTGATCAATGTTGTATCTCTTCTATAATGCAATCAAATTAAAGAATTATTGTTCATTTAGATAAAGGAGTAGAAATAATATATAAATATTAAACATTAATATTGAGCAAATGTCTCAACAAACGAACTTGAATTGTTGTGAAGACTAATTTTAGTATTAAGGCTGACACATTTTCTGAAGAAATTTTGATAGAGGAGGAGTATATTTCTTAAAATAAGCTAATATTGTGAAGTCTGTTGTCTGTTAAAATTGAGTTCATGAATTCCCATTTTGGTAAATACTAGTCAATATTACCAAATTACCAGGCTACCATATGCAGTGATTCTATCTCATTTATTCATTGTATGACTTGGAACCCAGTATCAAGAAACAAGATCTGGTATTTTTTATTAGAAACAATGTTGAAATAGTTTATTGCCTCAGTACCAGGGACTTACAAGTTCATTGACACTAGATTCCTAACCCAGTTATCAATTTCCTATTATTTTTTAAAAATGCAACCTAAGCTGAAACCGGTTTGGCTCGGTGGATGGAGCTTCAGCCGGTAGACTGAAAGGTCCCAGGTTCGATTCCAGTCAAGGGCATGTACCTTAATTGCTGGCACATCCCCAGTAGGAGGTGTGCAAGAGGCAGATGATCGGTGATTCTCTCTCATCGATGTTTCTAACTCTCTATCCCT